TTTGCGATTTTAAGCAAACTCACCAAAGCCAATCAGATTCAGATGGACAAAACTGGCACTTTATTATGCTTACAACGGTAATTCAAAGTCAGTTCAAACTTCAAGTGCTCAAAGAACTTCAAATTTCGGTAGGCACGTCTGGCCACTAAGAAAATCACTAGACAAAAAACCCCGCGTGACTGGCCGACACAGACATTAGAGTGAAAAAGCTTTACAATTAACCTAGACGCATACAATTATCATATATGAATCACTGTGTTCGTGGATTGACATGCTTGATGCATCCCACCAACATTGCATCGCAGCTTTACAGCTACATTACTTACATACATTACTACATTACATTACTGCTATTACTCTATCACCTTCGGACCGACTATGAGTACGTAATATCCGCTGTTCTTACTCACGGCCTTCGCAATCGCAGCGATGTTATCTGGAACGGTATAGTCATCGGGTATGGTGGGGTCGGGAGACACTGCGGGGTCAGAGGGCAGTGTGGGGTCGATGGGTACTCGCCTGTCCTCGCCTGAAGTTTGCTCTGATGGCTGAAGAATTGCATGTCCCGCCAACTCCGGACTCTTTTGCTCTGTCGGTTGGTAGGGGGGCACTGTGGGGTTGAAGGTCACCGTGGGGTCAGAGGTCGACGTGGGATCAGAGCGCACCGTGGGGTCAGAGGGCACCGTGGGGCTGTGAGATACTGGTCTGTCATTGCCTGACGTTTGCTCTGTTGGCATGGGAATAGTCTCAACTGTCGTTCCTGCGCTGCTTCGGTCTGCCTGCGCTTGCTGCCGCTGTTGCTGCCCTCTACTGAGTGACTCCCGCGCGGCGGTGGTGGCATCGGTGGTCGGAGCGGTCAGTGATGTTCCCAGCGAAGTCACAGCATCGCGTCTACCAATGTCCGGTTGAATGATGTCCGCTCTGCCTATGCTAGGTCGGCGCACGGGAACGTTTGGCTCTACGTCTTCTTCTTCTTCTTCTTCTTCTTCTTTGACAGCGGAAGACCGTCGGGTCGCCACCGTCTCAAAGAGACGCCCAGGAGGTTCCTGCGGATGCTTCGAAGAGGACGCCGTCGGCTGGGTTCGCACGCCAGATGGCGCTGGCCGCACGCCAGAGGACTCTGTCCGCTCTTGCTCGCGGTCCGGCGTGATTTCTCGCGTCGGCGTCGTCTGCCGGGTCGGCAGAGCCGACGGGAACGCGCGTCGGCGCTCCTCCAAGAGGCGCTGAGAGAGGGGCTGCGACGGCGACTGCTCGGCAGCGCGGCTCGCTTCGATGTAGTACTGGATAGGGGGCGCTGGTGCCTGTGTGACGCTGGCGATGTTCACACGCTCCAGCACCGACTGCCCGCGCTCGTTACGAGTGAGGATGTAGCCGACCTCTTCCGGTTGCTTGACGACGGGTTGCTGCACGGTCTGTACTGGCTGAAGGAACGTCTTGCCGTCACGCGAGGTGACGATGTAATATTCTCCGCCGGCTGGCTGTGGTTGTAGTTGTAGCTGTGGCTGTGGCTGTGGCTGTGGTTGTGGCTGTGTCTGCGGCTGTGGCTGTGGTCGTGGCCGTGTCTGTGGCTGTGGCTGTGGTCGTGGTGGCTGTGGCTGTGGTTGTGGTGGCTGTGGCTGTGGTTGTGGTGGCTGTGGCTGTGGGGGTCGAACACGCGGCTGCACGGACGGTGTCGAGCGTAGCTTCGGGGGAAGCGGGGACGGAAGGTTTTCGGGCAGGAACGATGGCAGCCCCCGTTGATTACCGCGTGGTGGCGGCGGTCCGGCGGTAGGCTGCGTAGCTGGTCCCCGTTGGCGTCTGTTAACCTGCTGTTCTGTTCTCGTTACCGGTTGCGTTCTTTGCAGTCCGCGCTGTGTGCCCCTTCTGTTGCCAGCTGGCGGCGGTGGTACGTCGGTGGGTCGTGTGGCCGCGCGTGACCTCTGCTGTCTTTGGTTAACCTGCCGAGAGGTCTGAGTTCTACGCTGGGCTCCTCCCCGTTGCGCTCCTCTTTGCGCTATCCTCTGTGCTCTCCGTTGTGGTCCTCTTTGCTGGCCCCTTTGGGGTCCTCTCTGTGATGCCCTTTGTGTTGTCCTTTGTGTTCCTCTTTGGGATCCGCGTTGGCTTGGCGTGGGTGGGGCGAGGTTAGGCTGGGATGCTGACTGCGCGCTCTGTTGTCTTGCTGCCAGCTGTTGTCGTCTTGCCGTCTGTTGCTGCCTTGGACCCACCGGTTGCTGTTGTCTAACCACTTGTTGTTGTCGTGGATCTATCTGTTGTTGCCTCGCAGCCAGTTGTTGTTGTTGTTGTTGTTGTTGTTGTTGCCTTGCAGCCAGCTGCTGTTGTTCTTGTTGTTGCCTTGCAGCCAGCTGTTGTTGTTGTTGTTGCTGTTCGCGAAGTATCCGTTGCTGTGCTTGTTGTTGTTGCTGTTGCCGAAGTGTCTCTCGTTGTTGTGGCTGTTGTTGCTCTTGTTGATGTTGCCGAAGTATCTCTCGTTGTTGTTGCTGTCGTTGCTGTTGCTGAAGTATATCTTGTTGTTGTTGTTGTTGTTGTTGTTGCCGAGGTAGCTGTTGTTGCCTTGGATCGAGCTGTTGCTGTCGAATTCTGTCGATCTGCGCAGCCTCCTGCGCATCTCGAATCAGCGGCTGCTGCTGCGGCACTTGATTGCTCACCAGCTGCGCGACTCCGTCCCTTAGTCTGCTGTTCACGCCGCCCCGCTGCTGGCGCCCTCCAACGAGCCGATCGGGAAACACGTCGACGAGACTGCGCGGCGGCTGGAACGCGGCCGCTTGTTGTCGCGTCGGTTGTCGGCCTCTGTCGACAACACGTGCGCGGATGATGCTAGGCTGCCCGACCCGACGCGAGCTTGGAGGGGACCGAGGACGCTCGGCGCCGACGTTGGAAGCGCGACGACCGAAGGAACCCGCCAGCCACTTCTCGAAGTTGAAGGTGCGCGGGTTTATCGACTCTCGGCGATCGCTCGGAGGAGGGGTGTCGGTCGCCTCGCTGAGGAATTCCCTGAGGAGTTGTTGTTGGAGGAACTGCTGGCCCGGGTCGCTTCTCCCGCTGCGGCGCGCCTCCTCCTCGGCGGCCGCTTGCTGAGCTTCCTCTTCGAACCTCCTCCGCCCAGCCGCCGACTGCCTCCTCTGCGCCGCCTCCGTCGCTCGTCTTCTCCCATTCTCTATCGCCTGCCGCCTCGCCTCCTCGGCCGCGCGCCTTTGCGCCGCTTCCGCCGCGCGTCTTCTCGCCTCTGCCTCGGCTCTCTGCCGTGCCTCCTTTATCGCGCGCTGTCTGGCGGCCTCCTCGGCTCGGCGACGCGCCTCGGCGATGGCGGCAGCGCGTCGGCTCGCGATGTTGGCGTCGATGGTCGCTCGCGTCTGCTCCAGCGACGTCACACCCTGGAACACGGAGCCGCCCGTGTCTGTCGTGTCCAGATTGTCGAAGCCGGCGAGTCCGGCTCCCTTCAGAAGCGTCTGCGTGAAGAAGTCGCCGCTAAACGGCGACCCGCCCGTGGTGGCGCCACCGCCGCCGGCCGCCGGGGGGCGCTCGCGGGGAGGTCCCGCTCGAGGGCCGCGGGCGGTGAATTGCGGCGGGAGCAACTGCGGTGTCGGCGCCTGCTGGCGGGTCGGCTGCCGACGTCCGAATCCGGTTCCGGCGAGGCTGCTGAACTGCGGCGACTGAGAGAGGCTGGAGATGCGACTCAGCGCGGAATTGATGACGCGTGATTCCTTCGCACTCTGCTGCTGTACAGACTGAGCGCCACCGCCGCCGCCACCCGGTCCCTGACCGAGCGCCAAGTCCGCGGTGCAGCCCAGCAGCAACAGTAGAAGCAGCATCCTGCAAGAGAGAGAATGGTAGCGACCGTCACGCCATCTAGTAGCAAGCACGGGACTGAGCGAGTTTTGGTTGCGGTGGGTATGCGGTAGAATTCAATTCAATTTAATTCAATTTAGTTTAATGAAATTTGGTCGATTTATTTTACACTTTTTATTACTAGTAATTATAATACTACAGCGTAATGCTTAGACTCGGTGCGATGTGATAAAAAACAAGGATTGCTTCGAGCAAGAGAACACACAAATTCGCTTCGAGCAAGAGACCACGCAAAGGTTGCTTCGAACAAGAGAACACACAAAGGTCGCTTCGAACAAGAGAACACGCAAAGGTCGCTTCGAACAAGAGAACACACAAAGGTCGCTTCGAACAAGAGAACACGCAAAGGTCGCTTCGAACAAGAGAACACGCAAAGGTCGATTCGAACAAGAGAACACGCAAAGGTTGCTTCGAACAAAAGAAAACAACGGGATCGCTTCGAGCAAGTGAAAACAAAGGGATTGCTTCGAGCAAATGAAAACAGTGTAGATGGGGGGTGGGGGGGAGGTTATTATTCCAAGGTTTTACTGCTGCGATGTTGAAGTTTCTCAGTGAGAATACGTGCACGTATCGTCGTGGTATATAACCGGACCTACCCGTGTAATGGGTAACCGATAGCAGCGGACGGCCGTCATCAATCACGTCTGTTAACACGGTGTCTTCATGCGTCAGCACTGTCCTTAACATCATCGTTGTCGTCGTCATCGTCATCGTCGTCGTCGTCGTCGTCATCGTCGTCGTCGTCGTCGTCGTCGTCGTCGTCGTCATCGTCGTCGTCGTTGTAAATGTCACAATTGCCGTTGCCATTGTCGCTATCGTCCTCATCATCATCATCATCATCGTCGTCATCGTCGTCATCGTCGTCGTCGTCGTCGTCGTCGTCGTCGTCGTCATCGTCGTCGTCGTTGTAAATGCTACAATTGCCGTTGCCATTGTCGCTATCGTTGTCATCATCATCATCATCATCGTCGTCATCGTCGTCGTCGTCGTCGTCGTCGTCGTCGTCGTCGTCGTCGTTGTCACTGCCATAATTACCGCCACTTAAATCGTCATTGTCGTTGCCGCTGACATTATTTTATTTGACGTGTCTGTTTCAACTGTATTCCCTGACCTAACTCTGCCTTTGACTGCTCTATTGCAGGTAAAACTGACCGATGGGCGACATAATTTTACACAGGTTTTAAGTGATAAAGTGATTACTTTAAAAAATCCTAAATATTGGTTACTCCAACTTTAAGTTGCGTTTGACTTAATTTACTATAAATAATATATTATTTTGCTAAAATTTATTAGGGGCAATGATATACAAACGCGATATTATAACGAGACTGCCAGTATATTTCGTTGACTTTAAACTGATCAATTCTATAGGGGACAGAATGGAATCTCGCGAGACTTTATCCAGACAGAATCACATTTAAATATATTTTCTTATAGAAAAATACGCGTAACTGTTACTACAACAAGCTAACAATACCTACAGCAACATACTACAGCATTATAAATATGTGGCTACACCACTATAACACATGTATACATGAGTACCGCATTACATGTACACTCTACGCGCGAATAAGACTATATATATATCAATATACATACTGGGAATGACTCGCATATACACATACTGCATTCCTCTCACCTATTCCTTGTCATTCCGCAGTGGAGAGAAGGCAATAACACACACACATACACACACACACACACACACACACACACACACACACACACACACACACACACACACACACACACACACACACACACACACACACACACACACACACACACACACACACACACACACACACACACCTGCCTGACTGACTGCGCTCGCCACCGCTGCTGCTTCTATACTTACGCTGCCTACTACTAATTGCGCACTCTGCCTAACTGCCTGATGCTGCTGCTA